GAGCATTTAACTTTCCTGCGGGGGTATTTAACTTTCCTTGCGAGAGCATTTAACTTTTCTGCGGTACTAATGAAAAACTTTTTTATTACTAAGTTTAACATCTATGTAATCTAAAGACAGCGTAGCGCTACGGTAACTGGATATGTCTTTTTTGGAATGTACACATATACGACGATAAAAGTTAAGTAGCATATACAACTTATCTATTTCTTGTACAAAGTCACCCAAATCTTTTTTTTTCTTTGGCACAATGATCGTGCAAAGCTCTACGAACGTATAAACCTTGGGGAAAAAAACATTCAGGCCATAAAACGTTATTCGATTTCCTACAAAAACGTATTAATGGCTTCTCCCTGTTTTAACAAAATGTCTATTACCAATTGCTTGGAATCCCATCACTCCCTTCAAGTTTCCTTGATCCAAGGCTTCCTTACTAAACAGGGCCATTCGATAGAGATCTCTCACTATTCCTATTTTTGTAGCTCCTTCAATCTTTGTCTCGCCCACAACATTTGTGTATTGGCGTTCACCTCCATAGTAAACATCTGAGATGTAATCTGGACGACTACCGTTTGTTATTTGGCCCATATCAAACAACTTATCGCATCTAATTACCAGGTTCTTCACATTAGTATCTTTGTTACTGTTTCGCACTATTTGCTTACTTACACGTGAGGAACAGTCTCTGGGCTATGCGATCTAAATAATGATGACATCATTGGATGAACATAAGATGCCGCCAGGTGTCCCTCTGATACTGGAAATATTTCACTCTCTGGTAATGACAGTGCACTATATTAACCATTAGCCATCATTGGCTCTCTAATTACAAACAATCTTACATTTCTTGTACTGCTCGTATTATAGGACGATACTTGTCCTTTGCATTTTTTGCCAACCGAGATAAAGTACTCCCAAAAACGTAATCATCCATTTTTTTGTCAATAAATTCCTAATAATACCGTTTATAAAATTAACTGAAATACAAAATTCTTCCTCTTACATGCATAATCTTTTCAATTTTCATAAATATACGCTTTTTGAATACCTTCTTGGTAAAACACCTGTCCAAAATGTCCTTACGCATCTGCTCCAGTAATGCAGAAGCAAACATCTCATTTAAGAACGTTGTCACCTGAACGTCCTTTCTCAGCAATATAATACTCGAAAGTGCCCTAATTATAAACAGCTTAGTAAACACGACAAGAAGCAAAAAACGGCTTACAGCATGTTATCTATATTATTTATGGAATCAGTAGGATCACTCTCGTGCACAACTCTACAGTTTTTTCGATACTTGAAAAATTTTTCAGATACATTTATTCCGTTTAATATCCAATTTTCATCTAATTCAGGACTCATTTCCTTAGATATCCTGCCAGAATAATAGCCATACCCACTGTTTATAACTTACTCTTTCATTTTTATAATGTTTTCTTGTATACCTTATTATATGTAAAGCCTCTACATGCTCCTTCAGCATATACTTTCTCTTAAAATAATTATTGCAAGACGGGCATCCATAAAAAGCACCATTTTTACTGCGATTATCACCATTTAGTTCTTTTGCTTCAGCAGGTTTACCTTTTCTTTTTGATTTCACTATCTTGTTATGTGCATTACATATATGTCTTCTAACGGCACCGTAGCGCTGAAAGGAAACTTTACAGAAAGGACAAACTTTTTTGAGGATGATGCTCATTTATGGAAAAAAATATACGAAAAAGATAAAAACCGTTCCAACTCAAGCTTCGCTACGCCAAGCATACTTTGAAACTGTACAACTCAATGTATGTGCAACAATAACAAACAAACTAGATTAGCCCAAA